GCCCGGTAGGCGGTGTGCGGGCCTATAGCTCGATTGATTGTGCCAGTCGAAGACCAACTTTCGGACACTAGTCCCGCTATCGTCTCATTGGCACTGCCGATCACCCTGGCTTTCCCAAAGGCGAAATCGTGGTTCAGTTATTGTACGTGATCATGGATCAAAGACAGCTTGTCTGTATGGTTGACTGCAATTTGATGTTCATTCAATCTCACATCACAATCCTTTGATGGTATGCTGTAGACCACTGCTGATTGTTCGGTTGCCGGCAGCGGGTCTTTCGGCTTCATGAATTACTGTCTGATTGTGGCTCATCCTGTATGAGCCAGCCCATCCTCTTCTTCTTCGGGAGATGATCAACACGATACCTTATATGGACCTCAAATGCATATTATGTTTTATATATCTATTGGGGGGTTGACATATTTGAATAATTCGGCTGGCCCACTTGTGAAAAATTCGCGGCCATAGTAGGAATTAAAACCACACAGCGGGGAAAACTTTTGCGCAGTCAACGCTCTACCCTTGAGATACCGGGCTTACCGTAAGCCGTGAATTTAACAGCACTTGTGTCGATTTACCCGCCCAACCTACTGCTCGTATGAAATTCACTTACGGTTATAGTAAGCTGACTGTTTAGGCAGGATTTCCTAAGCAATTATATAGCATCCACCAAAATCGTTACACGGCCCACTTAATTGTTAAGGTTTTGAGTAATTCAGTTGATCCGATTGTGAAAAATTCTATAGACATCTATATTTGCATTTGAGCTAACACCATACTTCTTCAGCCAGCCTCATCTCCAATAGGCTCCCGCTGTCCGAAAAAAACTGAGGTGCATATAGACAGCGAGCAAAGTCCACGGTGAGGAAGTGGTTAGCTTGACGTGAGCTATGCACTTACAGTAGACTCCCTATCTCACGAAATGTCACCCGGAATTCTGATATGCGTTTTAGATTCAAACATATTAATTACGCATGGTTGTAAGAATGACGATCGTACAGCCTAATGTCAATATATTTTGGTCACGTCAAGATACGGGGTTTTTAATGAGCTTCTTTTTGAAAGCTAATTAAAAGCATGCACAGTAAAAAGTGGCTACCTAAGAAGTATGCATTTTCATCATCGATTTTGACTGCCTTTATAAATTCAACTATATTTTATGGAAAACACAAACGAAAAAAATTATTCCTTGTACTAGTTTGGTAGCAAATTGTACCTTCTTTAAATGTTATACTTAAAGAAGAGGTATCTTTCGGTTTTAAAAAAGTTTCTAAATCGCTGAATAATTTTAAACCTACTGACTTCTATACTTGAATTCAAGGTTTACAAACTGCGCGCTGTGTACATCCTGCTTAAGGAAAAGTACGTTATCACCTACGATTTGAGGAAGAAGTCGCACAGTTCTCATAAAATATTGTAACAGATGTGGAACATGCTGTAAAAATTATAGGCAGTATTAATAAATTGATGGATGTATTGTACAATGAATGGACACCTCACAATCATACAAAAGCTCATAATTATAAACTTTTTTAAAATCGAAAGATACACCTTCTTTAAGTATAAAATTTGAAGAAGGCACAATTTTTTACCAAACTGGTACAAGAAATATTTTTTCGTTTATATTTTCCATAAAATATAGTTGAATTTATAAAGACAGTCAAAATCGATGATGAAAATGAATACTACTTAAGTAGCCACTTTTTACAGTATATACGTTTTATTAGTTGTCAAGAAGAAGCTCATTAAAAAGCCGGTATTCTGACGTGACCAAAATATGCTGACATTAGGCTGTACGATCGTCATTGCTACAACCCTACGTAATTAATATGTTTGAATCAAAACGCGTTTCCGAATTCTGGGTGACATTTCATGAGATAGGGAATCTACTCTATATTTCCGATCGAAAGCGGTAAGAAAAAGAAGCCATGTCTCAGTGGATTAAACCGTTGGATTGTTAACTAATAAGTCGCGGGTTAAAACCTCGGGTAGTGTAGCACCTGGGCTTCGATATAAGTGGCTGATGACGGCTAAAAGCCGGAAATGTCCATTCCAGTCTCCCTTGTCTTTACCGGCAATGTTCATCTGTCCATTTATTTTCTCCATAAATATTACCTAGGTGAACTCTGACAGTATCGCTGATTTAGATTTTTCGATGCGCGGTTTTCCATCATCTCTGTATCTTCATGAGACACAGCGAATATTGCAATATGAAAAAAACACATTAGGAGCGGGGGAGAAGAAGGCGGAATTACCGGTGAATTATGTGCAGAGCTTCGATGTAGGCGAGTGCGGAGGCCAACTGATGACAGTAGGTGACAAGAATGGTCAACGGAATTCTGTCCTGTCGTTCAATCAGATGGTGCCGTAACTGCGAGTAGAAGAAAAAAAACAG